TGAGTAATATTCCATTGTATATATGAACCACATCTTCTTTAACATCTTGGCTTCTTCCACAATTTGGCTATTATGGACATTGTTGCTATGAACATTAGGGTGCATGTGCCCCTTGTTTGTACCACATGTTTATCTTTGGGGTAAATATCTAGTAGTGCAATCACTGGATCATAGAGTAGCTCTATTTTTAACGTCTTGAGGAACCTCTATACTGTTTTCTGGAGTAACTGTACCAGCTTGCATTCCCACCAACAGTGTAAGAGGGTTCCCCTTTCTCCACAACCTCGCCAACACTTGTTATTTCCTGTCTTGTTAATTTTGGCCATTCTAACTGGTGTAAGGTGGTATCTGATTGTGCTTTTAATTTGTATTTCCCTGATGGCTAGTGATGTTGAACATTTTTTCATGTGTCTGTTAGCCATTTGTATGTCTTTTTTGGAGACGTATCTGTTCATGTCTTCTGCCCATTCTTGACTGGATTATTTGAATTTTGGGTGTTGAGTTTGGTAAGTTCTTTATAGATCTTGGATATCAACCTTTTATCTGAAATGTCATAAATTGATTAGTAATTATTAATGGTTAATCTGTGAAAATTTTGCAAAGCTCATTAGACATCTGCAAATGCTGATGACTCTAGAATGCTATTGAGACTTGTAATTAAGAAAGAAAATATTAAAGAGAAGTTAATACACAATTTATGCAATGTTATCTTATAGTTTACTGAGCTTTTTTAATAATAACATATAATTGATTTATAATCTCAAGACCCCTTTAAGGTCCAGGCACTTAAACTTGATCCTATGGACAATGGACGCCAAGAGTATTACATATACGTGAGTGAAATGATTCTGTTTGCTTTTCAAGAAGGTATCAAAAAGCAATGTGACTAATGAATGAGAGGAGAGACACTAGAGTAATTCTAGAAAAAGATAATGGGATTAACTTTAAGAAGTCATAATAGTGATTTAGAGAAAGAGAGAGAAACCAAGAAACAGACTCTTAGAGTCTGTAGAGAACAAATTGATGGTTACCAGAGGGGAGGTGGGGGAGATGCATGAAATAGGTGATGGGAATTAAGGAGTGCACTTGTCAGAATGAGCACCAGGTGATGTATGGAATTGTTGAATCACTATATTGTACCCCTGAAACTACTATAATATTGTATATTAACTAACTGGAATTAAAATAAAAACTAACTGAATGATTAAATAAATAAATAAAACTGAAAAATAGAGAAATAAAAAAAGAAGACATAATAATGCTATTAAAATGGGGGTAGTTTGGTGAGACATTTCAGAGATAAAATACACAACTGATGGTTGCCAGGTGAGATGGGGTGGGGGTTTGGGTAAAATGGGGAAAGGGAGTGGGAGATACAGGCTTCCAGTTACGGAATGAATAAATCATGGGAATAAAAGTTACAGCATAAAGAATATAGGAAGTGATATTGTAAGAGTGATGCTGTAATGGGACAGATAGTAGCTACACTTGTAGTGAACATAGCAAAATGTATAAATTTGTCAAATCACTAAGTTGTACACCTGAAACTAATGTAACATTGTGTGTCAACAATGCTTAAATAAAAATAAAATAAATCCACATATTTTACAGAACTAGTGGGTATGTGAAACAGAGTGAGGAGCGAAGGATGATTGGAGCTTCTGTCCTGGAGGTGAGAGAATACAATTATAGTTTCTGTTTATATAACATGTCACAATTTACAAAGCACTTTCATGTATACTGCATTCCATTGTTTCAATAATCTATTTAATATGAATTAAATAACAGTCTTAAAAAGACTCTGACCCTCCACTACTAAGTAATTTCTTCGGGAGTTATTATATATAGGTACTTTCCCCATGACCTTTCTTCCTTATGAAGCACAAGTTGACTTGTATCCCCTATATCAAAAATACATATACACCTATATTGTCTTTTCTTCTCCCCATGTTACTAGATCAATGGATTTTTACAATAGTTTATTTAATGGTCATATGGTTATGTCTCTGTGTCTCTGAAAAAAAGTGATTTAGATAGTATTTCTCAAACCTTAAAAAAGCATATGAGTCATCAGAGAATCTTAATAAAATGCATTCTAATTCAGAGAGAGGGCCCGAAATTCTGCATTTCTAACAGGCTGCCTGGCAATGTCAATGTTACTAGTCTATAGAACAAATTTTGATTAGATAGGTTTTAGATCAAAGCTACACATACATTTGCACACACACACACAGTACCTTTAGTTAAGCAAGTGTGCTATTCTGGGATATTTATATCTTAATTCATTTTAAAAATCACAACCATTTTCTCACAGCTTTCAAGGTAGACAATAGTTGCTACGAACTGTATATGTTACACGTGTGTTTTTGTTTTTTTGTTTCAGTAATGTAGCTACATTCCATTTCTGTCACTGTTGGCAAGCATTCCCCTAAGGTTTCTAAACATGTTAGTGGTCTTTTTCGAGAAGATATCTTATAAAGAACCACCTCATTGTTAGTTGTTCATTAATAGCTCTCTTATTGGCAACTTGGATGTATGCCCCTTAATTTTGCAAGTGTTTTAAAATTAAAATTACTTCCAAAGCATTTCAAATACTCCTGGCAATAACATCTGCTTGGAGGCAGAATTTTTAATTCTCCTCCCACAGGTCTTTTCTTTTATGATTCCATAGCCTTGTGGGTTTCCTTAATAGTCTGAAATTCCACAATATAATCCATGTGTGTTGAAAGACATCTGAAATCATTGACATGCCTCAGGGTCTCAGGATTAAGCAACTATCAGCTCTGTCCTCATGTAATTGGACTCAAAGAGGTAATCTCCCATTTAGGTCCAACTCAGAAATTCCTTCTTTCTCTTTCTCCTCCTCTATCCCTCTATTTCCTCTTAGAGGAAACTCATTTATCGTTCAGACGTATTTCTCAAGTAATGCATTTTTATCCCCATGGGAGTCCCTTAATTCGAACCTCAAGTGATGGGCAATATCTCTGAGTGTACATGACAAAGAGGTAACCTTGAAAGCAATGGTTGATTTTTATGAGTCTCTAAGCAAGAGCTCAGCCACCCTGGAGAAAGAAAGGCTCATCTCTGCTGTTTAGGTAACAAAAGTCCTTTAGTCTCATTTTTGCTGGAGGGCCGTATGAGATATGTTGAAAGATATAGGCTAATCAGTGCTAGCACTAAACTCTCAAAGGTCCTGGGATCTTTGAACTGGATGACCACAGGGAGTATGTTGCCTAACTTCCTATTCAATTAAGGAATCCTTATCACTGTGTTCTTGAGATTCATTCAAGGTGCCATGAGTACCTTCTGAAGGGTGAGACCCTAGCTGGACAGCTCCAGTTGTTAAGCATCTATAACTGTGAACAGCCACCTGCATTCTCTCAATCTGCTCTAATGTTTTATACTCTTCTTGCTCACCTCCTGTGCTTTTATGTTCTTGCCTTTCCAGTTCTACAGTGTTAATTAATTCTTATTTACAGCTTTCAGTATTGTATGGTAAGCTCTCCTAAAATGACTTCACTTTAGTTAGGAGCTCATTAAAATACAGTGGCACTTGACACATGTTAACATCTAAGACTGCAACCATCACTGTACTTTGAAATTCAAAGAAACCTCTGGTTTCAAATGCCTTACTGCTCTCTTAAGGATTTGGATGATGTCGATCTCACCATAGGATATGTACCTTTTGCCTCCCAGTTTCGGCTGCACCATGAAGAGTTAAACAGTATGCATCAGGCCACACAGAGTGCTGAAGACCCAACTGGGAATATAGCCCAGGAAACTTGGCTCCGAGTCTGGTGTGTTTCTAACCACATGACCGTCATTTCTGATGACTGTAAATTCACATAGTACTCTTTCTGCTGAAATATGCAGGAGACAATCACGTTGGTAAACTGGACAAGTCAGTGCATGTTAAGTAAGTTCCTAAACTGAATAGTGTGTATTCTCCAGGATTCCTGTTGCCACTGACTGTGAATGGTCCACATTTTACTAGTGATATCATGACACACGACAGTTTTGAGGGTCCTTTCATTGTAGATTGCCCTAACATTCACATTCTTGGCTCTTGTTCTTGTTGGACACAGATTTTGCTTCAATGCCATCTTTCTGAGAAGGCACTTCTAACTGTTGGCAGCTAGCTGCTGCTGTTAAATTCTTCATGGCCTCTGTGCTATGCCCTCCAATATGCTTCCTGAGAGGCTGAGCCTCTCTCTGCTGAGATTTCAACTATATGCTTTTAAACCTGAAACAGATGTTTGTCGGCTCCTGTCATTTGTCATGAGCTTCTCCATTTGCATTGTATACAAGGCAGGTAAAAGGCAGGTAATTTGCTGCCTCACTCTGTGGACAAAGAAAAAAAAATGGAGAGAGGGTGAAACAAGACAAAGGGAGAGAATAAATACCTAAACTAGAAGAATAAAGCCACATGGGGACAGAGAGTACAACCACTTGAACATCTATTATCCTCATATCATATGCTATAGTTTGGCTTCTACTGATTTGCCGGGCATCCCTCTTGAATCATATTTGTGGCCACCCAGATTAATGATGTGAGCTGATCTCTTGATTTAATATCAGCTTGTTCTTTTCAGCTCCCATGTCATTTACTGTCCTAAAAAAAAAAATGTACTGCTTGTTACTCAGCCGTCTGTGTTTTCAAGAACTCAGTCTTTTTTTTTTTTCCTCTTTTTTGTATGGGAACCAGGAACTAGAAAGCATTAAATGAGGAAAATTAACCACTCACAGAAAAGGTGGAAGCCCAGAGAAAAGGGGTTTGTCTTTTATGGTTTGTACTTTGTAAGCTGTGGGTGTGACTCAATTTCCTCACCACCCACATAAAAAGGTTGCCACCCAATCACTGTTTTTTTCTATCCAAAACCCCTCCCCTTTGATTTTGGCTAGGAAAGACCCTAAGAAAGACTGCCCTTTCTGGAAGTTGCAGACTGTGACATATAAAAGCTGTTAGCTGCTCCTGCAGCCAGCAGCATTCAAACCTTGCAGAGTTTTGCTCTCTGAGAGCTTGTAAAAAGACACACTCTTATAAGAGTTCATGCTACAACCTAGCAAAGAACTTTAAATTTGTGGAAGAACAGTATATTCATTTTGGCATTCTGCAGAGGTAAGCTCTTTAGCTCAACAAGTTTATTTTGCATGCATTGATTTTATACTAGCTCACATTTTTATTTTATTTTTTTTTTGAAATGAGATTGACTTATTATAACTTTTTTTTGTTTGTTTGTATTTTATCCCTTGGTGTCCATATATGTCTGGGACACAATATCAGCACATTCTCTGTTGTTACCTGTGATGCATTTTTCCTTCTCACTCTCAAGATTAATTTCAATTCCTAAAGATTTCCCTTCTGAAAATATGCAGTAGTGCATTATGTGGTGCAGGCATTTGGGGCAAATGGTTCACATTCATTTTAGGGTTAGTAGTCATGTTATTTATTTTTCTTTAGCTATAGGAAGTTTCTTTTAGGAATCTGCCTCATGACACCAAGAGAAATGTTTAACAACTACTATAGATTGTTTCCTAGGCATGAGTTCAACATTTGTTTGAATTTTTCAGAGAAAATCAAATCAAGCGATGCTCCCAAATGATGACTTTGTAAATTCATACCCACTGGCCCTTTTTTTTTTCTTTTCTCATAGACCCTAACTCTACCTTTCTGCTTTAAAGCAAAGTAAACTCGGTGGCCTCTCCTCCACCCCTCAAAATGATAGCAATCTCTGCAGTCAGCAGCGCTCTCCTGTTCTCCCTTCTCTGTGAAGCAAGTGCCGTCGTCTTACTCAATTCCACTGACTCATCCTCGCCAACCAATAATTTCACTGATATTGAAGCAGCACTAAAAGCACAACTAGATTCTGCGGATATCCCCAAAGCCAGGCGGAAGCGCTACATTTCGCAGAATGACATGATCGCCATTCTTGATTATCATAATCAAGTTCGGGGCAAGGTGTTCCCACCAGCAGCAAACATGGAATATATGGTAAGAAGAATTTGTTTTGAGTTCTGAGTGAGGACGCTGGATTTAAATTGTTCGTCGAAGAACCTAAAGAGTGTTTATATGTTAAGGGATATGGAGCTCTGCTATACATTTTGACTTAGGAAAGGTTCTTTTATGCCTAGTAGGCATAAAAGTTTGTTCCATCATAGAATTAAAGGGGGGGGGTTCCTCATTTTCTTTTGTGAGTTCCATAACAACTGATGGATCAGGTCTTATATAAGAAACAGAGATAAAGAATGGGGTATGTTGACTGACCACATTTGAAAGGTACACTTTAAAAAAAAATATTCACATGAAACTTTTTCTGTGTTTTGTTTATCTAATGGTCATATTTATCCGCTAAAACATTTCTTGAAAATAATTTTTTTAAATTATACGTTTTGTGTACATGATTTATTCTCTGGGTAGGTGTCTCTTCCCTTTCTTGGACAAGGCTCTTCCTGATGCTAATCTATTTGTGTTCTCAGAGAACATGCTGACTTTTTCCTCTTTGTGATTTAATGCTTTGTCATTCAGATAAGAGTGAAGCCGGCACACTTGCACACTGTTCCAACTTGCCATGAACACATTCTTTGCTCTTTTAAAAATAGGCACTCTATGTTTAAATCACTCTACTTAGGAAGTAAAAACTAAAACAAAACCCTTGAGTTGGTATTGAAAGGATAGCTGTGTTTTTTAAAGTTACTTTAATTTTGTTGTGTATTTATGCAAGGGTCCGGTACCTTCTAAGAGCGCAGCTTGGAGTCTGTTTAAGGCAATGAAGATCACCAGCCTGGTTTTTCTAAGTTGGGGTCGGGAGGTGGTACCACTAACAACTTTTTATAAATGCTGACCTAAAATCTGGTGTTTCTATCAGATTCTAAATTCATCTCTTTTATTTAAATAAGCTTTGTAAGTTTGACTAATTGCAGATGTCAGAGTTAAAGGAAAAATAAAGACTTGCCAAATATGAGAGTCATAGTTCATAGAAGTACAACTTAGACTCTATGAAAATGCACTTTCCTAAGGAGTTTTCAATAAAGAAAGAGGAAAAGAAGATATAATCAGTCCTGGTGTAGGAATAGCACTATACTCTCATGATTAAGAATATGGGCTTTGGAATCTAAATGCTTGGGTTCAAACCTCAGTCCTGAAATATAACCTACGTGAATGTTTTATTTCATTTTTATCACCACGCATATGAGGATAAATGTAGTACCTGCCACATAGGGTTGTAATCAGGAAAGTATGAGTTGAGGGGTTGAGCAACTAGACCAGAGCCTAGCACGATAGACCTTCAATAAACATTAGCACTTTCTAGAAGGTGATATATTGATATAGAAAAAAGAATAAATAAGTATTTTAGTTACCATAAATTTGGAGAGAAATATTCATAAGATTCTATGTGAAATGAGGAAAGTGTAATATATAGACTGTGGGTTTAGGAAATACTTCCTGGTGCCAATCATAGCGCTATGCAAACAAAAGTAGGGCCAAGATAGCTGAAGTGTTTTAGAGGCGAGGTCCTCTGAGATCAAACCCTAACACTGCTGCTTACTTCGTGACTTTGTGCTAGTCACTTAATGTATGTGAGACTCAATTTCCTTATCTTTAAAATGGGAATAATAATATAGATAATAACCAACCAATATACGTACAATTCACTATTTTAATGATATTGAAGGCAGAGGGATCATCATGAGTAAAGGTGGGGTACAACACAGTATAAATGGTTGAAAAAGCCACATTTTTCTGGTTGTATTTTCCCCCGCTGATCAAGAACTCATTCATCTCACATGCATTTATTTAAGTTTTTCCATGTGCCAATGACTTGGCTAATTGTTTCCATAGATGATCTCATTTGATAGCTCACATTCTCCCTATGAGGTTAAAACTGTGATCTTCATTTTACAAATGAAATCACGTAGACCTAGAAAAGTTGATGACTAGGCCAAGGTGGTATGGACAGTGAATGGTATTAATGGAGTTAGAATTTAGGTCTATGAAATTTCAAAGTCATTGCTTGTGTTGGGAAACATCTTTCCACTGGCGAGGTTTATTAAATGCTCTGTTGGGGGAAACCCCTGGAGGTGTCAGGCTTTGTGTCCTCCTTTAAAATGCCAGCTGAAATCCTGTAGTATTCATATTCTCTTCTATTATTATTTCTCAAATATAGGAGCTATGATATGATTTATCTTGTAAGAACCAAATACAGTGCTTGTTATGTCAGTAGATGATTTATAAATCCTCCTTCACTCAGTAAAGTTAATGAGAAGCAGTAATTGGAACAGCAAGTTCTATAAAATTAAATATGACTGTCTCAAATTGTCATGTAAATACTGCATGTAATTCATTTGCACATGTATTTATTCATTTAATGTTTATTGAGCATTTATTTTATGTCAGGCACTATTCTAAACACTGGGGTTACATTCATGAATAAAATAGACAGTCCTTGACCCCCTGGGTGGGAAACCAGACAATAAACAAGATAAATAAATAAAGTACATAGTACATTAGAAGATAATAAAGTTGTGGAGAAAAATAAAGCTGGTTGTGGTGAGATTGTGAAATTTAATAGGGTGGCCAGGGAAGGCCTCACTAAGAGTGTCCTGGAGAGAGGTGAGGGAGTCCACCACATTGATAGATGAGGGAAGAGCTTCCCAGGTGGAGGGAAGAGCAACGGAAAAGGCCCTGAAGAAGGACAAAACTGATTAGTTTAGTTAGAAAAATGTGCTCAATTTTATGAAATTGTAAGGTAGAAGGACTGTTTGAGTAAATGGAGTCATTGAAATAATTCATATGATCCCTCATACTGAAGCACTGAAGGAAGTACAACAGCCACTTGGAGGTTGGAGCACAAACTGTAAATGACTAATCTCTAAGCCAGGTGAAAAATAAAGATCTCAATTCAGCATTTACCTTTATTTTAACTTGTTCAGCATTGATTTGGATTGTGAGCAGTCTGAAAGGGAGCTCCATTCCTAACTCTTACTATGTACCTCAAACACTTAGGACCCTTAGCTCAGTAGGACTGCTAGCCGCGTGTTCAAATCCTCATCAGGGTGTGAAAGCAGCCACGGGAGCCTCATCAAAGACGGTCTTCAGCTCAGGGCTTTTGTTAACCATGCTGGCCTGATTTGGATCTCTTTCACCCACAATTTTTCTCTCTAAACCTTCTTCCCAGGCTGTCTCTTTCCATCTGTCTCTTCCTTAGCTTATTCGATGATTTACAACACTGACCTTCAAGTTTTGTATCAGAATGCTATGTCCTTTGTTGATATTCTTTTACCCTCACAACCATATTCAATTTCTCCTTCTTTTGGGGGGGGAGGGGCAGAAGGAGAGAGAGAATCCTGAGCAGGCTCCACGCCCGCAGCAGGGAGCCCTACTCAAGGCTCAATCTCACAACCCTGAGATCATGATCTGAGCCAAAATCAAGAGTCTGTCGCTTAACCGACTGAGTCACGCAGGCACCCCATCAATTTCTCCTTCTTTTAACAGCTATAAAGAACCCTTCATGTCTGTTATTCTGCTCTCATGATTGTCAAACTCGTTCTATACTTATTTGTATAGTTCTTGCAAGCTTTCTAGGTGCTAAATCTATGTTTATTCACCTTTGTATCTCTATTTTTTTGAGCCAGTTCTTGAGTATAGGCAGTGATCAACCTTTATTTGATGATTTAGTTGAAGTCCCTATGAACTGTTATATGTTTACAAGCAGCATCAATTTTGTTATATATTTTAATGGAAATTTTATTATCATGTATAATGATATTTTACCACATGCACCTAAAGTTTGAAACAAAAAGTTTTCCTAAATTCTAAAAGAGTCCCTCAAAATTAAGTGATTTTATCTCCTTTTGAGTACTTGGCTATGGCAGTGTACCCTTGAGTAAATAAAGTAGAGGCAATTTGAACACAGAGTGTTGACATTTATGTTATAGTTGTATAATATTTTCTTTGGATATTTTGTCCATGATTTTAGTAAAAAATATATATTTGAAATATTTAATTTTCTAAACACAGTATCTTTTAAATAATAATAATAAAACAGATAGGGCTTAAGATATGCAAGTCAAACTTCTTTACTCTTGGCTTCTGTTCCACAATTAGTTTATTGACAAATTTCCAGAGCTCCTTGGACACCAGCTGTTTTTCATTCTTCTAAGGGCAGCTTAAACCATGACTCTAAACCACAAACCACACTAGTTTCTTAGAATAAGAATTATCCCCCGAAGGATGAAATTGCAAGACTCACACATGGAGTAAAATTTGTAAGATATTCCTTGAATTCATGTTAATTGAATAAATTGATTTTAAAAATGTTGAGTTCCCTCCATAAGAGGATGAGATCCATTGATAACAGAAATCTTTGCCTTTAAAGTATAAACAAAACCATAAAAAAACAAAACAAACAAGAAAGAAAACACTAGACATATAATTCAGTATAATACACTGCTGCATAAGATTGATGTAATCAACGAGGTACAGATAAATACCATGGAGAAATCAAAGAAAGAAGTGATAATCTCTTGTTGGCAAAATCATGAAAGGCTCTTTGGAGGAGGGACATTTGAGATAGATGTTCAGGAAGGGGCAGGGTTGAACATTATACCAGATAAAGCAATGCAGGCACAAAATCACCAGGAGAAGAAAAGCATGATGTGTCAGCCATATTTTTGAGGAGTTCGAGAAAATACTGAGGATCACTTCATAAAAGGTGATTAGGGAGACTATAGAAGTTTTAGAGGGGCATCAGAGCCACATTTTAGAAAGATGGCCTAGCAATTGATGGAGCTTAGATTGCCAGTGAAGTTGACTGGGGAAGGGGCAATCACTGAGTTAGTAGTACCACTCCTTTAGGGAAAGTAAGAAGGAGTCAGACACCTGCACCTACACAGCAACAGGTATGAACAGCTAACTGAAGCATGGTGCATGAGACAGCAGTCTTCATAGTCGATATACAATGATGGAAAGACAGGTTAGGGACAGTGAAAAGA